GGCCTCCGAGGCGCCCCGAGAGAGCCCCAAGAGCCTGCCCAATCGAACCCCAAGAGGCCAAAATCATGTACATTCGATAGCTTGTTCAATGATTTTTGGGAACTCGACTTTTCGAGCTCCAGACGTTCCAAGACGGCCCAAGAGGCTCCCAGGACAGCTCCAATACGGCCCAAGAGGCCCCTGGGAGGCCCCCAACACGGCCGAAGAGGGCTCCAAGACGGCCCCAGATGCGCCCAAGACGGCCCAAGAGGGCCCAAAGACAGCCCCAAGAAGAACCCAAAAGGGGGAGAACACGAACCGAAAGCACGAGTCTTCCGCCACAAGAAGCCCCCAGGAGGCCCCAAGGAGGCCCCAAGGGGCCCCGAAGAGGCCCCAAGGGACCCTGAAGAGGTCCCGAAGACGCCCCAAGAGAGGCCCCGAAACGGCACCCCACAGGCCTCAGAACGGCTCTCAAGAAGCCCCCGAGAGGCCTCCCGCGACATCCCAAGTAACATCCTAGAGTTCTATGACCCACAACCCAGGCACGGTGGCGAGATGGGCCGAAGTTTTTATGTGGCAAGGGCACCCGGAGGTGTCTCAAGATGTGATGTGTGCGTGTAGCGGTACCTGGGGTGCGTCACTTTTGGACATGGCCCACTCGCTTGCCTTGTGCTGTAATTGCAGAGCCGGTCGCAATAATGAGTGAGGAGCCCTGTTGCCAGGCACACCGCTTTCGCTCGCAGTCCCGAGCCTCCCGCATTTGCACATCAGCTGCTGGGGCATGGGGCACTTCTGGAGGACGGCATGGCGTCACTTCGGCCAAAGGCCATTCGATCCGCCGCCCCCTGTGGTCTTGCCACTCGCGCTGAACGTCTTACGGCTTGGTTTTGGTTCGTGTCCAAAGGAACTCCCACTGGGACTTCGGCCGATGCCGCCGCCACCCGGAAGGCTGCGTTCGACCCAGTTGCAAAGGTTTTTCCTGCTCCAGATGGCTCCAAGATGGACCAAGCCTCCGAGACAGACAAGATGGCCTCCAAGTTCGCCCAAGAGGGTCCACGATGGCCTCCGAGACGGCCCAAGAGAGTCCATGATGCCTCCGATTTCGCCCGAGAAGCCTCCAAGACGGCCCAAGACGTGCCCAGATGCCTCCAATAGCCTGCAGCGGGCTTCGTCAGAGCCTCGCAGACCGCCGACATCCCCGCAACTCCCTGACTCTTATCCGTAACTGCGGGGGCTACGTAGTAAGGTTGACAGATCGACCGTGGGACCGATATGTAGATACTGATAGCACTAGATGGATGGATCGGAGGTTCGGGGGTGAGTTCGACGTGAAGCGGACTCGCCCAGCAGGGAAATCGATTTCGATTTCGGCTCGTGCAGTGCGTCACGTTGTGCAAGCCTTGCGGTGGAATCTATGTGGCCGATTTCGGAAACCCTGAACCCAAAAATGTTGTCATCTCTTGGGATGCCGATTTATGCTTCCGCTGGCTTCCGTCGAGCTTCCACCAGCTTCCGCCGGCGGAGGCGACCTCGTTTTACTTCCGCCGCCTTCCGCCGCCTTCCACCGCCTTTCGCCGATCCTAGAGGGCAAGGGCTTTTTTGGAACGCCTAATGTGGCGCAAGCCGAGGCGGCCGAACAGCCCCAAGAGGCCCAAGAGGAGACCCAAGGAGGCCCAAGAGGCACAAGAGAAACGGCCGGAGCGGCCTAGGCTCACCGGCTGGACGCAAGATTGGCTCAGCTGTCTGCGAGCTACCAAAGAAATACGAGCGCCCGAAGGCCCGGAGGGGCGAGCCTATGGGCTTAACTGCAGCTTTCGGCGGGCCCAGAGGGGCGCAAACCTACGCACGCGGGTGCGAAAGTGAGTGCGAACCCTGCCAATCCACTTCAGGCACCACCGGGCGATGCGCTTGGAACTCGAAAGGTCCTGCTACTAACGGCTTGGGCCCGAATTGCCACGGACAACGGCCAGGGATATAGGTTGTTATCGGCGCAGCGATGCCCCGACTGAAGACATCAAAAGCAACCCCCTCAGAAGCCCTCTTGGCTCCCTTTGGGGCCCTTTCCGGGGCCTTCGTCGGCCCTTGCTGGCGACTTCTGGGCCGTCGTCAAGCCGTCTTGGCTTGATATTGGACGGCGTTCTAGCTATTTCTCGGCGTTTTAGCTATTTGTGGCCTCCTGCTGCGGATAAGGAGCAAAGGTCCAGAGAGTCAGCGCCCATATCACTGATCCGTTGGTACGGATGACGGGCCGAGGATCAAATGACAACTTGATCATCGATCAGTCACGCGGCAGACCTGACTCTAATCGGCGACGGGATGGAGGAGAAGTGGAGCGCAAGAAGAAGTAGAAAACATACCTGCGGGGCCGTCTTTGACTAATCTCAGAACTGCTTCCTCCCGGCTCGGAGCCGTCTCCGCCTCCTCGGGCGAGGACCAGACTGAGCTGCGCGGGGAGCGCGACGCGTCCTGGAGAGGCATCCCATACTTGCGCGGAAGGGGGCACGGTAAGCCCAGCCTCGGCATGGGGATGGAGCCTGACGCTTGCTCGGAAAAGGAGGCCAGCTGTGTGGTGCAAGCTGCGCGAGTCTCCAGGAGCTCCAACGGCCGCACAGGGCAGAGCCCGGAAAAATCCCAGCCAGTGCAGGGGGCGGCCGCAGGGCGGCCGCACGGCGGCACCGGGCAGCAGCCCAGCCAGTCAGCTTCCACCCGAGCAAGAGCCCCCCGTGCAAGGACCGGTCGAAGGAATCATCAATCGTGTACGTCGGCAGTGGCACTGCGGGAGCGATGGATGAGAACCCGACTGGGGACACATGTTTCTCAACAACTTGCCATCGTTACCAACTTCCCATCGTTCCCACCTGCCTCTCGGACAGACGAGCTGGCAGACTTTAAAGAATTGAAAAGTCAGGGAGGACCTACGAGCAAATTACCGGCTTGCTCAAAAGATTGAAAATCTCACAACCCATGCGGAGTCACAGGCACCTCATTGCGGCCGTCGACGCATGATTCTCCCTAGTTGGGTTCCAGCCGGGGCGGGAAATGTCGACATGGGCACAAGCGCAAGAACTGATCACCACTTGGTGGACTGGTCGAGCACGTACGCTGCAACGTCATCGATGTCGTCCGGCCCCAACTTGTCGCCGAACGCCGGCATGGAGCCCTTGCCGTTCGTCACCTGCGTCTTGATGGCAGCCGCGTTGTAGCCGCCAGTCAGGTACTGCTCGATGGCCGCCTTCCTCAGGGTCTTCTCCGCCACCACGCTGTTGTTCCCCCCCGCGTGGCACGCCGCGCAGTTGCCCAGGAACACGCTCTCGCCGTTCTCGAGGTCCGCCGCCAGCGCCGGCCGGCCGCCCATCACGGCGACCACCAGCCCGAGGGCCGCCCCGATGGCCAGCGGGCTCCACGCGGCGCTGCTGCTGGAGGCTGGCGCGGCCTCCTCGACAGCCTCCCGCACCGTTGCGGCCGCGCCACTGGCAGCCTGGGGCGCGGCAGGCGGACTTGCTGGGGTGACGAAGCTGCTCGCGCCGTACAGCGCGAGCGACGCAGCGGCCAGGAGGCACAAGCAGCGGGACATGCTGCCGGAGTGCGCGGCTCTGGGGAAATCTGTCGGCTGGAGCTGTGGCGAAGGCAGGTGCTGCTGCTAACGGCTTGGGCCCGGATTGCCACGGACAACGGTCAGGGGTATAGGTTGCCATCGGCGCAGCGATACACCGACTGAAGGCACCAGAAGCAACACTCTCAGAAGCCTGGGCCGCCTCAGGTCCCTCTTGGCCCCTTTCTGGACCCTTTCCGGGGCCCTCGTCGGCCCGTGTTGGCGACTTCTGGGCCATCGTCAAGCCGTCTTGGGTTGATTTGGGACGGTGTTCTGGCTCTGGTTCTGGCCTCCTGCTGGGGATAAGGAGATCACTGATCCACTGGTATGGATGACGGGCCGAGGATCCGACGAACACTTGATCATCGGTCAGCCACGCGGCATGCATGACTCCAATCGGTGATGGGATGGAGACATGAAGCGCAAGAAGAAGTAGAAAACACACACACACACACCTGCGGGGCCGTCTTTGACTAATCTCAGAACTGCTTCCTCCCGGCTCGGAGCCGTCTCCGCCTCCTCGGGCGAGGACCAGACTGAGCTGCGCGAGGAACGCGACGCGTCCTGAAGAGGCATCCCATACTTGCGCGGAAGGGGGCACGGTAAGCCCAGCCTCGGCATGGGGATGGAGCCTGACGCTTGCTCGGAAAAGGAGGCCAGCTGTGTGGTGCGAGCTGCGCGAGTCTCCAGGAACGTCAGCGGCCGCACGGGGCGGCCACGGGGCGGCCACGGGGCGCCCACAGGGCAGAGCCCGGAAACATCCCAGCCAGTGCAGGGGGCGGCCGCAGGGCGGCCGCACGGCGGCACCGGGCAGCAGCCCAGCCAGTCAGCTTCCACCCGAGCAAGAGCCCCCCGTGCAAGGACCGGTCGACGGAATCGTCAATCGTGTACGTCGACAGTGGCACTGCGGGAGCGATGGATGAGACCCCGACTGGGGACACATGTCTCTCAACAACTTGCCATCGTTACCAACTTCCCATCGTTCCCACCTGCCTCTCGGACAGACGAGCTGGCAGACTTTAAAGAATTGAAAAGACAGGGAGGACCTACGAGCAAATTACCGGCTTGCTCAAAATATTGAAAATCTCACAACCCATGCGGAGTCACAGGCACCTCATTGCGGCCGTCGACGCATGATTCTCCCTAGTTGGGTTCCAGCCTGGGCGGGAAATGTCGACATGGGCACAAGCGCAAGAACTGATCACCACTTGGTGGACTGGTCGAGCACGTACGCTGCAACGTCATCGATGTCGTCCGGCCCCAACTTGTCGCCGAACGCCGGCATGGAGCCCTTGCCGTTCGTCACCTGCGTCTTGATGGCAGCCGCGTTGTAGCCGCCAGTCAGGTACTGCTCGATGGCCGCCTTCCTCAGGGTCTTCTCCGCCACCACGCTGTTGTTCCCCCCCGCGTGGCACGCCGCGCAGTTGCCCAGGAACACGCTCTCGCCGTTCTCGAGGTCCGCCGCCAGCGCCGGCCGGCCGCCCATCACGGCGACCACCAGCCCGAGGGCCGCCCCGATGGCCAGCGGGCTCCACGAGGCGCTGCTGCTGGAGGCTGGCGCGGCCTCCTCGACAGCCTCCCGCACCGTTGCGGCCGCGCCACTGGCGGCCTGGGGCGCGGCCGGCGGACTTGCTGGGGTGACGAAGCTGCTCGCGCCGTACAGCGCGAGCGACGCAGCGGCCAGGAGGCACAAGCAGCGGGACATGGTGCCGGAGTGCGCGGCTCTGGGGAAATCTGTCGGCTGGAGCTGTGGCGAAGGCAGGTGCTGCTGCTAACGGCTTGGGCCCGGATTGCCACGGACAACGGTCAGGGGTATAGGTTGCCATCGGCGCAGCGATACACCGACTGAAGGCACCAGAAGCAACACTCTCAGAAGCCTGGGCCGCCTCAGGTCCCTCTTGGCCCCTTTCTGGACCCTTTCCGGGGCCCTCGTCGGCCCGTGTTGGCGACTTCTGGGCCATCGTCAAGCCGTCTTGGGTTGATTTGGGACGGTGTTCTGGCTCTGGTTCTGGCCTCCTGCTGGGGATAAGGAGATCACCGATCCACTGGTATGGATGACGGGCCGAGGATCCGACGAACACTTGATCATCGGTCAGCCACGCGGCATGCCTGACTCCAATCGGCGATGGGATGGAGGAGACATGAAGCGCAAGAAGAAGTAGAAAACACACACACACACACCTGCGGGGCCGTCTTTGACTAGTCTCAGAACTGCTTCATCCCGTCTTGGAGCCGTCTCCGCCTCCTCGGGCGAGGACTGGGCTGGGCGGGCGCGGAACGCGACGCGTCCTGACCCGGTATCTTGAGCCTACGCGGAGGGGGGCACGGTGAGCCCAGCCTCGGCATGGGGGTGGAGCCTGACGCTGACGCGGAAAAGGAGGCCAGCTGTGTGGTGCAAGCTGCGCGAGTCTCCAGGAGCGCCAACGGCCGCACGGGGCAGAGCCCGGAAAAATCCCAGCCAGTGCAGGGGGCGGCCGCAGGGCGGCCGCACGGCGGCACCGGGCAGCAGCCCAGCCAGTCAGCTTCAACCCGAGCAAGAGCCCCCCGTGCAAGGACCGGTCGAAGGAATCATCAATCGTGTACGTCGACAGTGGCACTGCGGGAGCGATGGATGAGACCCCGACTGGGGACACATGTTTCTCAACAACTTGCCATCGTTACCAACTTCCCATCGTTCCCACCTGCCTCTCGGACAGACGAGCTGGCAGACTTTAAAGAATTGAAAAGTCAGGGAGGACCTACGAGCAAATTACCGGCTTGCTCAAAATATTGAAAATCTCACAACCCATGCGGAGTCACAGGCACCTCATTGCGGCCGTCGACGCATGATTCTCCCTAGTTGGGTTCCAGCCTGGGCGGGAAATGTCGACATGGGCACAAGCGCAAGAACTGATCACCACTTGGTGGACTGGTCGAGCACGTACGCTGCAACGTCATCGATGTCGTCCGGCCCCAACTTGTCGCCGAACGCCGGCATGGAGCCCTTGCCGTTCGTCACCTGCGTCTTGATGGCAGCCGCGTTGTAGCCGCCAGTCAGGTACTGCTCGATGGCCGCCTTCCTCAGGGTCTTCTCCGCCACCACGCTGTTGTTCCCCCCCGCGTGGCACGCCGCGCAGTTGCCCAGGAACACGCTCTCGCCGTTCTCGAGGTCCGCCGCCAGCGCCGGCCGGCCGCCCATCACGGCGACCACCAGCCCGAGGGCCGCCCCGATGGCCAGCGGGCTCCACGAGGCGCTGCTGCTGGAGGCTGGCGCGGCCTCCTCGACAGCCTCCCGCACCGTTGCGGCCGCGCCACTGGCAGCCTGGGGCGCGGCCGGCGGACTTGCGGGGGTGACGAAGCTGCTCGCGCCGTACAGGGCGAGCGACGCAGCGGCCAGGAGGCACAGGCAGCGGGACATGGTGCCGGAGTGCGCGGCTCTGGGGAAATCTGTCGGCTGGAGCTGTGGCGAAGGCAGGTGCTGCTACCAAAGGCTTGGGCCCGAATTGCCACGGACAACGGTCAGGGTTGCTATCGGCGCAGCGATACACCGACTGAAGGCACCAAAAGCAACGCTCTCTGTAATCCCAACTTGCATGAGAAACTTTGGAACGCTTTGAAAGGTTAACCTCTGACACCCCGTGCTCGACGGGGATGTGGCGACTGTGAACCTTACGCCCATCGAAAACAAAGCGGGGCACGCTGATATCCGAAGTGCGCAGAAATGAATAAGGCAAATTGCGCTTGACCCCGCCCGTGCACAAGAAATGCTTGAAGCGGCGCGCAGGATAAATCAACGCGTGGTGCCCCTTTAGCGCCCTGAACAAGTACAGGAGCGGACGCGAAAATGAGCATGAAGCAAAACGACTGCACCATGCACCGCTCCTGCTGCTGGTGCTGATATTGATATCTTCGACCTTCGCCTCTGCGGGCTTCTGGGCCAGATGGTGCCCTGGTCTCCCTCTCGAACCCTCCCTTCGGGAGCGGCCTGACCGAAAGGGGGGTCCACTCCTGGGAGGTCTTCGCTGGAACGATTTAAGGGTGATTGAGCCCGAGTAAAAGACCACGTCGCCGGCTGGGATTCAGCTGGGCTAAGTCGGATTAAGCGGGATCAAGCCGGAGTCAGCCGGACAAATCCAGATTCTGCCAGTTATCGGCCGCGAAAATTCCAGCGACGAGGCAGAATTAAACCTCCGCGGACTTGTATCCCAGCGGCCCCTTCCTTGCGATCCTCCTCCTCCTCCTCCTCCTCCCCGCCTTCTTTGAAGGAGCAAAACATTTGCATAAACGTAGACTTGTGGAGGTCCGCGCGGGTTTCATGGATCGGCGCTGGACCCCCCCTCCACAGCGCGCGGAGCGCGCCAGGGGGCGGCGCCGAAGGCGTCGCCACTGGGGTCCCAACGCTGATCCAAGAAGTCCGCGCGGACTTCCGAGAGGTTGTGTTTGCGCCGTTGTTGAGTCGCTGACTGCGTGCTCGCTGCCACTGCCTCGGCCTTATTCTGCGGCCTCGGCCTTTTCCGCTGCCCTCAGCATCCTTCCTCCCGTCTCCCGTCGTCTGCCCTCTGCCTTCTGCTTCCCCTTCTTCGGCGCTCTTCCCCCTGCCTGTCGCCCTGCCACCAGTGTCAACCCGATCCTGTGCCCCACCGGATGCAGGACAACCGCAGCTACACGACTGCACGAGCTCCCCAGACAGTGCTTGTCCTCAGGGGGTCTCACTTCTGCTCTGAAGCACTGGGCCTGTCTGCCCCTCTGGCGGCTACGTTGCCGCCGACGCCGCCCCGTCGCCGCCTCGGCGCTGCCCGTCGTCTGGGCCTGTCTGACGATCTGGCGGCTACGCTGCCGCCGTCGCCGCCCCGTCGCCGCCTCGGCGCTGCCCGTCGTCTGGGCCTGTCTGAAGATCTGGCGGCTATGTTGCCGCCGTCGCCGCCCAGTCGCCGCCCCGTCGCCGCATTGATTGCGCACCACATAGATTGCACCACATAACTCGCGCAACATTTTTGCGACACATAGACTTCAGAAATACTTTGCAACACATGGACTGCGCCACATAGGTTGCACAACATATCCGGCACCACAACATCTATTCCACCACATCGATTGCATGGCACATATTGCACAAAACAAACTCCGCCACGTGAATTGCACCACACATATTGCACAACATAGTTTCCACCACATCTATTGCACCACATCGACTGCGTCGCATCGATGTCGCACCACATAGATCGCACAGCATAAAAAAGCACATCACATATTGCACCACATAGGGTGCACCACATAGATTTCACAATCTGTTTTGTACAACATATTTTGCACAAGCAAGCATGCAAGCAAGCAGGCAAGCAAGCAAGCACGCAAGCACACAAGCGAGCAAGCAGGCGAGCAAGCAAGCAGGCACGCAAGCACGCAAGCAAGCAAACAAGCACGCATGCAAGCAAGCAAGCACGCACGCACGCAGGCAAGTAAGCAAGCAAGCAAGCTAAGCAGCAACCGTTTGTCTGTTGTTCAGCGTACAGCATATCGGCTCAGCGGTGAGGGAGGTCGCCAGTTCTTGTGAGAGGTCCCAACTCTCTCAGGGTCTGAAAGATCACACAACACATTTGCGTCTTGATTTGCACTGTCGTCACACATCGGGTGGAGTTCATGAACTGTGCAGTCGGCGCACCAGGATCTGCGCCGAGCGCTCGTTCGGCACCTTACCCTCAGCGGAGGCCGACCCGCCGCCCGCTTGCAGGAGTCCCCGCGGGTCGGGGCGAAGAGCTCGGCCCTGCTCATGCTGAGGATTCTCAGAACGATGGTGGAGATCAACGGGCGGCTCCAGCATACTATGCCATCCAGCCGAACTTTGAGTCACACAAACTGCCGAAGGAGGTTGACGACAAGCTCAAATCCATCACTTGCGAGTTGTCTGTAATGATGGAGCAGAAGATCCTCCTGGCCAAGCGCATGGCGACACTCACCGAGAGCATTGCCGCGCTGAGGGCTGGACACACCCCGAGCGGGGTGGCGTTCTTCGACGCGACTTCCCTGCCGAAGGACTGGGACGCGGCAGAGACAAAATGCACGTTCACGGTTCCTGCGGGTACCACGGGAAGGCATGCGGGGGAGATGCTCCATTGGCTTTCACCATGAATTCCAAAAGGCACCGGAACATGAAGCCTGTACCGTAAAGGCTGGAGGACCTCACCAGCTACATCCACTTCGTCGAACAGGTCAAGACTCCAGGGGCGACCTAAGCCAGCATCATCAGTCGGCGGTGGACAAACCTCCCTTTAGTAAACCTCCCCTGAATGAAAACGGCCCGGGGCCGAAACCGACGGACCTAGACCCGCAAATATGACGGCCGCGACGCCCTCTCGCGAACCGGAAACGGCCAATTCCTTAATCGACCTGTCAGGGTAGAAGGTCTATCAACCTCCGAATCAATAATTTGGACTTGGATTGTCCACCTGGCCTCTTCGACCTCCCGCCGTCGATCGAGGAAGCCATGGCCAAGATGCTGTACACGGAGACCGTCTGGCAGGCTGTGGCGAACGTGGAGGCCGATATTCGGGAACAGGAGGCCAATGAGAAGAAACACCGACTTCATCCAGGAAGTAGGAAAACGACACCGTAAGGAACGCTTCATCCAAGCCATCAGGCACGCCGAGGGCCTACTGACCGAGAACGGAGGCAACGTGAAGCAGGCAAGTGAAGGACAAGCGGGCGGTGGATGACTTGGAGACTTGGGGGGCCCTTGCCGAATACAACCGCGCCCAGCCTGAGGGCATGGCCAAAGCTCCGGACCATGATGGCGCACGCATCGTCAACGCGAGCGCAACAAAAACGACAGGCCAGGAGGGCAGGAAGCCCCTCGCTCTTCGGGCAAGCCGCGTGGGGCCAATCCCGAGGCGAAGACAAAAAGCCAAGGCACAGCCAAAGGCAAAAGCAAAGGCATGCGTCAAAGCATGGGCCATGTCTTCGCAGACAGGGCAACGGCAATAACAGCAAAAACCAGTATGCAGGCAAGGGCGCCTCACCGAAAGGCAGGGGAAAAGGTGGGGAAGACAAGAGCAGTGGCAAGACAGGCAAAGGCAAGACAGCAAAGCACGGTGGAGGTAGGCAGTGGGGATGATTACCGTGAAGCCGCCCAATCCGCTGGTGATTGCGGAATCTTCAGACTCACTGCACGCTTAACGCACCATGATTGTTTGGGATTGTTTGGTTATGAGAAATTCCGTGGCTTGGTGTACGTAGCTGATTGGGCCACTCGCTCGGCGAAGCACGTCGGAGAGGACCTGAACATCCCATAGCCGGTGGTGTGGCTTTCGGGCCGCTTCCACGGCAAACATCAATTCGCAAATAATAGATTGCCTCGCCTGAAACCAATACGGGCTGGCATTTTCAGATGTGTTCGCAAATTGAGGTGACAGTTATCGCTTTAGGAGAGGTTTGCTACCCGATGAACCTCGTTCTCTAGGTCCGGCGAGGGCATGCCACCATGCGACCACGAGAAGCTTCCCTGGCAGACTAAGCACTGGACTCGCAAGCGTGGATGAATACGGCGAAAATTAGAGAACCAGCGAATATTTGTTATAGTCCGTCACATGTCTTTACACGTGTATCTATACAAGACATACATGAACGCGCAAGAGAGAGAGAGAGAGAGAAATAGCAAGAGATGTGGCTTCCTCCTCGTACACCCCCCTTCCTCGGAAATCCTGCACCTGCCGCGAGGCAACTAGTGGCGTGTCCCTAAATCATTGAGACCCTCATTATTGTATGCTGTAGATGTATGTATATTTATATATGTTAAAGATACACCATTTCGTGGTCCCAGACCTCCGATGTCCAAGACGGTTCGCTGCGTGACTTCTCCAGAGGCCTCGCGACGCGGCTCCGATGATCGATTTCCAGCATGCCCCCAGATTGCCCCAAACTCCCGCCTTAAGTAGTTATGTGGGGCCTCTTGGTACGTCTTGGATGCCCTGGGATTCGGCCCAAGAGGCTGACATCGCCCAAAGCCCTAAGATTAGCCTCTCGGCTTGTCGGCCCCCAGAGCGGAGTGCCGAAGAGATGTACAGAGAGGGCCCCAGGAGGGGAGCCCGAACTCGCACTTGGAGCCCCCCATCCCAGGATGATCAGCAATAGAAATGCCCCTGATCCTTTGGCAGGGGGCCTGAGTTCGGAGGGCTCAGAACCTTCTGTCGGGATCGGGGGTCTTCTGCAGATGCCGCAGACGAGGACACCCACATGCTTGGGGACAACCCTAAAAACCGAGGGCCTGAGTTACGCCACGAATTCATTGTATTGTTAGGGCTAGGGGTTTTGTGATGCTTAATGACACGATGACCCCCAGACCGCCCGTTCCTCCCTCGTGCTTGCCCTCCTCAGCGGCGCGGCCGCGCCCGCGGCGGCCCTGGCCCTCGCATTGGACCCTCCGAGTGGGAGGCCCGCCCGTCCGGGGGGGGGGGGCTCCGTCGACGTCGGCTCGGTACGATCAGATTGGGTACGGAAATCTGGGCCTCCCAGATGGAGTCCAGGGTTCCAGTCGAGTTTCCTTGCGATGTTGCATGTTTGTCGCCCTCTCCTCCACCCTCCCCCCATCTTCCTCCTCTCGCCTTTCTCCGCCCTCTCTCCTCCACCCCCTCCCGCTCCCCAGGTTTATCGTCCTCAATATCGGTGCGTCGCGCGCAGGGGAAGGGGGGGGGGAGGAGGTTCGGGAGCCTCCTAGCACCCCTCAGGTGGAAGGCGCGGGAGGATGGACGACCCTCCTCCTCCTCCTCCTCCTCCTGCCCCAGCTCCTCCCCGTCCAGCTCCATCCTCTCTCCTCTCTGCGCCCCCCCTCCCCTCCGCCCTGGCTCTCCCCTCCTCCCTCCGCCCAGCTCCCTCCAGCCTCCCCTCCCCCACCCCCTCCCTCCTCGTCCTGTGCCCCCCTCCTCGCTCCTCTCTCCTGCCTCCCCCCTGCTCCCTCCACCCTCCCCCCCCATCCCTCCTCGCCCTTCGCCTCCCTCCTCGCTCCTCCCTCCTGCCTCCCCCCCCCCTGCGCCCTCGACGGGCCGAGCCCTCCCGACCCCCTGGGCAGGGCCTCTTCTCCGCGAGCGCAAAGCGAAACGGCGCCACGGCGGCGCGCGTGCGGGCACCCGGACACTGCCCCCCCCCCCCCCGGCGGCGGGCCCGATCGCGGGAGGGCCGGCCGAGCCATGCCACTGGGCGACCTCCCGAGGGAGGCGAGCGAGCGAGGCGACGCTCGCTCCGGAGGAGGTGAGAGGCGAGGAGGGGGCGGGGGCACCAGGGGGGAGGGGAGGAGGGAAGAGGCTGGAGGAGGGGGAGGAGAAGGAGGAGCAGGAGGAGGAGGAGGAGGAGGAGGAGGCGGCGGCGGCGGCGGGGGAGGAGGAGGAGGAGGAGGAGGAGGAGGAGGAGGAGGAGGAGGAGGAGGAGGAGGAGGTAGTGGAGAAGAAGCTGGAGGAGGAGGGACGCAGGAGGGAGGGTGACGACGACGACGACGACGACGACGACGACGACGACGACGACGAAGTGCGAGCCGAAGCGCGACGTCGTCGTGGGCGTCTGGGGGCACACGGCCAGCCCACGGCTGGCGGCGTCGTTTCTCTTACGCCCGAGGGCAGGCTGGAGCGAAGTCAAACACACGGGTGTGGGCCCAGCTACGGCGGGGGCATTGGGCAAGGAACCCTTAGATGAAGAATCCAGGATCTGGAAACTGGTGGACCTCCATATGAGGCTTGGCCAGGGATATCACCGCCGCCCTCATCAGATAGGGGACCCTCCAGAACCTCCGCGGCACATTCCTTAATGAGCGTCCCCACCGTAAAGACAGTCCGAGGCGGTAGGCAATCTCGCACACGACCAAGCAAGGGAACTTGCTGCCACAGGTCCGTATCCACGCATTCTGGGGTCATGCCCCAGAGAAGCCCACAGGAGCGGTGGGTCTGGGCGCTGACCGAATATCTTGGACGCCCGCATTGGATGCGGTCAGCAGTGGGTACGATGCCCAACAGCAAAAGCTGCCCAAAACCGAGGGCGGCCGCTGTTGTGTAGGCGAGGGTGGGTCTCGAATGGACAGTGCCCGCGACGACACCGACAGCGAGTCTGGTTCAAATGGACATGATACAGCTGCTGGTCTTCGTACTCATGCCCGATACGCAGCACGCAACCCGTCGCGTGTTGCCATGGAGCTCAACACGTAGATTGGAAAGGCACGTTTGGCGCAACTCGTTCACCAAAACGTGGGCCGACACGTTGGGCCAACACGCAGCGTGTTAACACGGACGTCATGAACACGGCACGTGTTGCGTTTCAAAACGGGCATATCAGGGCAGCGAAGTACCCATGAGGAGGAGGAGGAGGAGGAGGAAGAGGAGGAGGAGGACCAGTGTAAACCCAAGGGGCATCAACGATGTTGGAATGACCCCTCCCTCCAAGCTCCCTCTTCAGAGGCCCCTACAACGAAACATCTTTACTGCAGGAACTGCCTCGATGGAAGACAACTGTTTGGAGACCCTGCAGCATGCCATGACATTGTTCTCGGGATTCCAGCGCCACGGATCAACCTGACTATTGCGTCTTGACGATCCTGAATCGTGCCAGAACGTCATTCTTCGGACTCGAACTTTGCGAATCAACAGACCTTGTGCACCCTCATAAGCCTGAATCCTTCCAAAATACCATTTCTGGTACGGTGATCGCTGGAATCCGTGAAACTCTTGCAAATGTTTAAGACACGTGTGCGCGGCGCTAAGGCGAAAACCACATGTTGAAAACTACTCGCCATCAATCCGTGAAACTCTTGCAAATGTTTAAGACGAGTGTACGGCGAGACCCACATTTTGAAAACGACTCGCCCTCAATCCGTGAAACTCTTGCACATGTTTGAAACGAATGTGGGCAGCGCTGAGGCGAGAGCCACATGTTGAAAACCACTCGCCTTGAATCGTTGAAACTCTTGCAAATTCTTAAGAAGAGTGTGCGCAACGCAACGGCGAGACCTACATTTTGAAAACGACTCGCTCTCAACCCGTGAAACTCTTGCGATGTTTTAGGACGATGTGCGCGGCGCTAAAGCGATAGCGACATTTTGAAAACGGCCCGCACTCCATCAGCTTCAGAGTTGTAGGTGGTGAGTAAATTTCAGGCGAAACGCCCGGCCCGCCCTAAAAACTGGCCTTAGGGGTGCGACGAGGAGAAATTATTTGTGAGAGAAGGACTGGAGGAGGAGAGGAGCAGCCTCCTGCTCCTCCGCCTCCTCTTCCATATGTTCCTCCTCGTCCTGGCGAACAAGATCGGTGTGCGTCACCGGCCGCAAGGCCTTCGCAATACGGTGAGGGCATTGGATGAGGAACCCTTAGATAAGGAATACAGGGTCTGGAAGCTGGTGGAACACCACTTGGGGCTTGACCATGGAGATCATCGCCGCCCTTACCAAGTAAGGAAACTTCCAGGGTCTGGAGCCTCCTGGGCGCATTCCGTACCCCCCCCCCAGAAGGAGGGGGAGGAGGGGGGGGAGGGGAGGAGAAGGAGGAGGAGGAGGAGGGGGAGGAGGAGGAGGAGGAGGAGGAGGTCGCAATATCGGCCGCCATACCCCACCATGCCGTAGTCGGCAGCCAGAGCTGGGCCCCATGGAGTGTGCCAAGCACGCGGGTTCCTCGCCTGCGCCTCCCTGCATGCCGCCGACGTCGAGCGGCCCCCAGGAGGCCCAAGAGAGCCCCAAGAGCACTCCCAAGACAACCTCGAGAGGGTAAACTCAAGGACTGTCCTGAATATGTTGACGATTCGTCGTCGTCAACCCCCTTCAGGGTCGATGACACTGGCCGCCCGGCTTTCGCAACATCGGCTGCCATACCCCACCATGCCGTGGTCGGCGGCCAGACCTGGGCCCTTGAAGAGCCCCAAGCCCTTGGGCTACCCGCGTCCTCACCTCCCCGGGAGCCGCCGACGTCGAGTGTTGAAACTTTCTCGCCCTCAGGGGCCGCTGAAAATCCCAGTACACCATTCCAAATATGGCGGGCTCCAGGAACCCTCAGCCCTAAAAGGTTGCCATCTCTTGGGGGACCACCTTCAGCCGAGGAAGAGATACTATACCAACTTTCCGATCCCTCGAAGAAGGGGCCCTTTCCGTAATGCCTGAAACCTTTCCAGGGCGCGACTCCTAAATGGTGGACTTTGATAGCTTGGTATTTGATAACCTGGTATTCCTTGAGAGTGCGGGGTGCAGGGGGATGCTTCTCTCTTGGACAGTGGACAGTCGGCGCCCAAATCCTAGACCCATTCTGATCGTGGCCGGCCTCTCGCAGCCCAATGCTAATGCGTGCTCACGCTTACGTAAACCGTGCATGCCTGTACGGGCGCCCCTCCGAACCAGCACTGTGGAGAAACTCACACATGGGGACCGTTCGAAAGAGCTGCTCTCTGACGAGACGTCACCTCCTCCTCCTCCTCCTCCTCCTCCTCCTCCTCCTCCTCTTTCTCCTCCTTCTCATCCTCTTCCTTCTCCTCCTCCTCCTCCTCCTCCTCCTCCTCCTCCTCCTCCTCCTCCTCCGCTCTCCCCCTTCCCCTTCCTTTTCCTCCTCCTCCTCCTCCTCCTCCTCCTCCTCCTCTTCCCCCCTCTCCTCCTGCAACGGGTGGCTGCGGCGTCCCCTCACTTGGCGCCCTCGGGCTTCTCGTAGGCCTCGTCGTACGTCTCGTCCCAAGTCCACTTGAGCAGCGGCTGCTCCGTGAAGATGTGCACAGGGCCTGGGATTAGGTTGAGCCTGTCTCCCTACAGGGGCATTTCGGGCGAAAAATCAAAAATAGTCAAAACATACTCCAAACATGGTCGAACATAGTCAAAACGTCGTCCCCAGATCATGTTTTGACTGTGTTTGAGTGTTCCTCCCGTAGAGGGACGGGCCCGACTTGAGCCTGGGAGACCCAGGGCAGACCACCGGATGGCGCATTTCCCCTTCCCCGCCCCCGCCCCGCTCCGCGCCCCAAGAGGGGGAGTACAGTGCCGTTTTTAATACATGCTCCGCGTGCGGGTCATGTATTAAGAATGCAGGCGCTTAGTATTGAAACCAACGATGAATTCATGCATAAATCTATTCACAGATGGGTCATGTATTAAAACCATACATTTCAGAAAAAAATCCTATGTATCAAAAACTGCCCTGTATGGGGGAGGTGTAGGACCGGGCCCGGGCCTCGGACGACTCGACCTTTTCGAGTCGCCCGCGGCCCTCGGAGCTCTCGACCCCTCGCCCAGGAGAAGGCCTGGGGGTCCCAAGAGCTACGTGGCGACGGACCGCGCGGTGACCTCGAGATCACGAGAGACCTCACCGCGCGGTCCGTCGCCACACGGTTTTGGGACGCCGGAGGCCGCAGTCGCTCGAGACATGCTCGGAGAACGGACCCAACTCCCCAAAAAAGTACGGTGACCCCGAATCCCAGCCGACTCACCGCACGGTGTGGGAACGGCCTCGGGACGCCGACAGAAGCTACGGAAGCTCTCCGACGCAACGCCTTCGAGTCGCCAGACGCGAAGAGAAAATACTCTGGATCGCTTAAGAATCGCCCCCCCCCCCTTGGAGTGCCTGGGGGGGTTGGCCGCGGCGCGTCCGCGGGGGTGCCAGGGGGGTCTGGGGTTCGATCCCTTCCCTGCTGGGGCGCGGGGGTGGTGACGGGGGGGGGGGTGGCCGCGCCGCGTTTTCACGCTTGTCACCCCCACGTCGATTGATAAAGAAGTTCGGAGTAACCCTTGGGGTCTCCGAAGGGCCTGGCTTGTCCAAGACGTCGGTCAGGAACAGGGCGGTGTACGGGATGACCGTGCCGTCGCGCAGGCGGGTGTGCTGCTTGGCGAGCTGCGTGTCCATGAGGTGCTTGGTGCGGCGCGCAAGGTCGTCGGTCTCCTGCCGAGGAAGAGGAGGAGGAGGAGGAGGAGGAGGAGGAGGAGGAGGAGGAGGAGGAGGAGGAGAGGAGGAGAGGAGGGAGGAGAGGACGAGGAGGAGGAGAGGAGGAGGAGGAGAGGGGGAGGAGGAGGAGGAGGAGGAGGGAGGAGGAGGAGAGGGGAGGAGGAGGGGAGGAGGAGGAGATGATCGTGTCCGCCATCTTGGGCCGCGTGGGGCCCTGGGCTGAAGCGTCGCGGCAGGGCCCTCGTCCAACTGCTGCTCGTCCTGTTATACAAGACCGGAGCCCCTGCACCGTACCATGCTTGCACTCCCCGCAGGCCCCGCCCCAACGCGATACGGTGCATAGCTGTTCGGCTCCGAGAGCCGAAACACTATGCACCGTACCATTCCTGGTTCGAGGATCGACGACGCCTCGGGAGACGCCAACGCGATACGGTGCACACAAGACGTCCGCGGATCTTACTGACCGTCCCCCCACGCGCTTCTCCCGCTGACCACCCGCTTCCTCCAACTCCCGGTGGCCTCGATCCTCCTCCGTCCTCCGCCTCCGCCCCCATCATATGCACGGCCTCCTCCTCCTCCTCCTCCTCCTCCTCCTCCTCCTCCTCCTCCTCCTCCTCCTCCTCCTCCTCCATTCCTCCACCCTTTGCACGGCCTCCCTCCATCAACCCTCTTGGCGGCGCGCACAAGGGGGTATGGGGGAGGAGGGAAAGCTTCTCAGGAGGAGGCTGCTTCTTAGAAGGCGCCATCCGTACATCTACAGACAAGGCCCGCGCCTACTAAGAAGCATGGATTCTAAGAAGCATTTCCCTCTCCCCCTACCCTACCCCTCTGCGCGTGGTTGGCCCTCCCTCCATCCTCCCTCCTTCCTTCCGCTTGTCTTGATCCTTCTCCACAATTGCACAGTCTGAATACGACTCTCCTCTCTCCCCTGATGAGGTCCAGAAGATACTCGGCCCCACTCAGCGTACTGTCCTTTACACGCAGGATTCGAAGGAGTTGGGTTTTCGCTTGGGCTTGTTTTCAAAATGTTGCTCCCGCTGCACCGCTGGCCTCATTGTCGGGTTTCCGCTCGTTCCGAAAAGTGTTTCCGCTGCAGCGATGGCCTCATGTCCGCGCTTCCGCTCGTTCCGGATCGTGCTCCCGCTGCAAGGATGGCCTCATTTCCGTGATCTTCCGCTCGTTCCGAATCGTGCTCCCGCTGCAGCGTTGGCGACGTTATTCCCAGTGCCGCGCCACGGCATGCAATGCAATGCTATGTGGTGCCCCGCTGTGCGATGTCATGCTTTCCGCTGCAATACCAGGATATGATGTGCTTGACTACGCAGTGCCACGCCATGCTTTGCCATGCGACGTTTCGATATTCGAGAGGGCGTGATCCACCGCCGCTTTACTGTGGAAAATTCCCCCCCCCTTCCTCCAGAACCCGGGGGTCCCCCCCCCCCCTCTCTCTGAAAATCTGCCCCCCCCTGCTGGACCCCCCCCTCCCTTTCCCCCGGCAAAACCCGCCCCTCCCCTAACCCCCCCCTCCCTCCCCTCCAGAAAACCGGGGGGGGTCACTACCAGTTCGAACCCCCCCCCCCTCGGAAAACCGGGGGGGGTCACTACCGGTTCGACCCCCCCCCCAGAAAACCAGACGAAGGTCACTACCGGTCCGAACCCCTCCACCCCCTTCCGGAAAACCAGGGGATTGTGGAATTTGCGGTTTGCTATACCATTCTTGTAAATGTCGCACTCTCGCCTCGGCGCCGCGCACGTATTTTCAGGAACAGTAGTCTCGCCTCGGCGCCGCGTGCATGTTCTGTCCAATAGATTTGCTTTCTTCGTCTCTGTGCCTTCCGTTCGTTTGTGTGTGCACCAGGAAGACATGGAAGTAGGAGTGCCGCCTTTTTTCATCACATGACCGCTTTTCCCAATACGATTCCGATCGAAATCGTTTACGACATAATTCGTATTGAAACCGGTTACACTAGGATTCCGATTGAAAGCCAATAGAAAAAGATTCCTATTGAGAGCCTCTACAAAAGGATTCCTATTGAAAGCCTCTACAGAGGGATTCCTAGTGAGCGCCTCCACAAAAGGATTCCTATTGAAATCCTCTACAAGAGGATTCCCATTGAAAGCAAATACAAAAGGATTCCTATTGAGAGCCTGTGCGCAAGGATTCCTGCTCAAAGCCTCTACAAAAGGATTCCTTTTGAGAGCATCTACAAAAGGCTTCCTATTGAAATCACTTACACAATGATTCCGAGTGAGGTCCTCTACGCAAGGATTCTACTTGAAAGCAAATACAGAAGGATTCCCACTCAAAGCCTCTACAAAATTATTCCGATTGAGAGCATCTACGCAAGGATTCCTAAACAAACCCTTTACAGAAGGATTATGGTTGAAAGCCTCTACAAAAGGGTTCATATTGAGAGCCTCCACAAGAGGATTCCGATTGGAAGCCTCTGCAATAGGATTCCTCTTGAGAGCATTAACAAAACATATGTCGATTGTAATCCTTTACGCTATGATTCCTAGCGAGAGCAAATACAACAGGATTCCTACTGCGAGCCTCTACAAAAGGATTCCTATTGAAAGCCTCTACAGAGGGATTCCTATTGAGCGCCTCCACACAAGGATTCCGATTGAAATCCTCTACAAGAGGATTCCTACTGAAAGCAAATACAAACAAATCCGATTGAGAGCCTGTGCAGAAGGATTCCTGCTGAAAGCCTCTACAAAAAAAAGGATTCCTTTTGAGAGCATCTATAAAAGAATCCCTATTGAAATCATCTACACAAATATTCCGATTGGGACCCTCCACGCAAGGATTCTAATTGAAGGCAAACACATAAGGGTTCCTACTGAGAGCCTCTACACAATGATCCCCATTGAGACCATCTACGCAAGGATTCCTATACAAATCCGTTACAACAAGATTCGGGTTAAAAGCTTCTACAAGCGGGTTCCTATTGAGAGCCTCTACAAGAGGATTCCGATTGGAAGCCTCTACACTAGGATTCCTATTGAGAGCGTTTACGAAAGGATTCCTGATGAAACCCGTTACACTAGGATTCCTATTGAAAGCCCAAACAAAAGGATTCCTATTGAGAGCCTCTGCGAAAGGATTCCGATTGAAAGCATCGCCAAACGTATTCCTGTCGAGCGCCTCTACGAAAAGCTGCTTGAGCCTCGGGCTGCTTGAGCCTGAGGCTCGGTCGGGGCGCAGTGTGCTAGCTCGCGTTAGCTGCCCCCTGCTCCTTCTCCTCCTCCTCCTCCTCCTTCTCCACCTCCTCCTCCTCCTCCTCCTCCTCCTCCTCCTCCTCCTCCTCCTCCTCCTCCTCCCTCTCCGTCCTCGCTCTCCGTGCTCCGTCCTCTTCCCTCCCCCCCCACTCCCCTTCTCCCTTCCCCACAGCGGCAAGGAAACACCAAGAAGACATAAAGAACAACCAACAACATCAATTGTTAGGAGCCGAACAACAGCCAAAAACCTAAGGAAAAACCATAAACAACGAACACAAGGAGAAGTTTCATGCACCTCCTCCAATCCCACCGCCCCCTGCCCCCCTCCTCCCGAATGCATGCTGGAAGCATTGCTGTTTTTTTTGGTGTGTTCTTCCTTAGACTTGTGTTTGCAGCTTTTCGATAACAACCTGCTGATCACAACAACGATGCCGATGACATGCATCAACCTGCTGATGATATCGATGACCATGCTGATGACGGAAGCATCGTCGGAGCTCCTCCTCCTCCTCCTCATCATCCTCCTCCTCCTCCTCCTCCTCCTCCTCCTCCTCCTCCTCCTCCTGGGTGGTCCGAAGGTGGACGAGGAGGAGGAGGAGGAGGAGGAGGAGGAGGAGGAGGAGGAGGAGGAGGAGGAGGGGGGAGACGAGAAGGACCATGCAGGGGTAAAGGATCATCTGGGGGGGAGGGATTGGAAGGACGAGGAGGGGGAGCAGGAGGGAAGAGGGAGGACGGCGAGGAAAAGAAGGAGAAGCAGGGGGGCGAAGAGGAGGACAAGGTGCCGCCGACGCCGGCGGGGCTACCTCCTCGCTCAGGGGCTGGGCCCTGGGCCCTGGGGGGAAGGTTCCAGCCCCCCCCCAAAAAAAAACTCTGGATCCACTGGCCCCGTTTTTTTTTCTGGCCTGGAAAAGAAAGAAGAATAACAAAAAAACAAACAACAACAAAAAACGGGGCCAGTGGATCCAGAGGGCTTTTTTTTTGCTGGGACCTTCCCCCCAAGGCCAGACACCCCCCATCCCCCGTCACAAAGGAATTCAATGTGTACGCCCTCAGACAAATCGAATCGATTTGCAAACCCCCACAAAGGGAATATGTTTACAATTCCGCCACACATGGAATCTACGTGTAGGCCCCCACAAAGGGAATCGATGTGTGACCCCCACAAAGGAAATCAGCTGGTAGCCTCTCACACAAAGGGCATAGATCTGTAATTCCGCCACAAAGGGAATCTACGTGTTATTCCGCCACAAAGGAAAGGGAAACAATCTGAGCGTCCTCCAGGGAGAGGGAGAAAGAGAGAGACAGAGAGAGAGGGAGAGGGAGAAAGAGAGAGGTTGTGAGAAGCATGAAACCATCAGAGGGCCGAAAGCCCGCCATACGCGACCGCATACTCCACAACCCCCTGTCCTCGGAAAACCAGGGGGGGTCACTACTGGCTCGAATCCCCCCCCCTCCCAGTCCATCATGAAGAGGGGGGGGGGTCACTACCGGTTCGACACCCCCCCCTCGAAAACCGGGGGGGGGCCACCCCTCCCCCTCCCCCGAAAACCGGGGGGGGTCACTACGGTTCGAACCCCCCCCCCTCCCTCCTCGAAAACGGGGGGGGGTTCACTACCGGGTCGAGACCCCCCCCCCGTCATCGCCAGCAAACGACTCCCGGTCCCTACCACCCCCTACCACCGTCCGCACCAAATCCCCCACTGTTGTTCCCAGCACCACTGTCCTCACCACCACTGCCCCCACTGGTTCCACCACGTCCGTACTGTCCCCAC